GTTTCCTCACGTTCCACAGTTCGTCCATTCCTTTTTTTTTTTTTTTTTATTTTTTTCACAAATATCGTGAAACGTTTAAATTCATAAGCAAATAATTAAATTATCGATGATGTTTTTATTTTTTTCGTTTCTTTTCTTTTTTTTTTTTCTTTTTTGAGATCGGTATTAGATTGAAAGATGTGATTAAAAAGATGTCCACGCCAGAGGAGAAGAGGAATACCGATTTAGAGCTCGATCGATCGAGATGTTCGGTCAATCGTGAGGTGTTCGGTGAGATTACAATTTAAGTTCCCAGCGGTTCCAGCCGTGAACAAGAAGAAATTAACCCTTTGCGGTCTGGTTGCTTCACGCAATAAGCTGTCCGGCTTGTTTCGAGAACCGTATCGATTACGAGGTAACTTTTTTTTAAATCAATATTATAATTAAATATTACCAGGTAAACGTATTACTCTGTTCCTTTATCTTTTTATATTTTTGTGTTTCTTTTTTTAAATATTTTAATTTAAATTGTTCTTTCTACACGAAAGAAATACTCATCCGTTACAAATTTATTTTACTTACTATTACCATATATCCATGAATCAAATATCTTATTCGAACAGCAAGATTCTCAATTTCTATTTCGATTTTCTAATAATCTTCTACGAGTTTTCGCTCGTCCAATAAATATATCGTCGGATCATCTATGCCATCCCACGCGTCGTACGTACACGTTTAGACCGCAAATGGTTAATAGAATTTGATCGGACGATAAACCGTATCGATTGTTCTGGCAACGTGTAATTGTTTAATCAAGATTGGCGTGTTGCTAAATGACGATCACGACGACGATGCGAGAGTTAAGTGGCATCCACCTATAATCGATATCCAAGATAACGATTATTTGGTAAACGAATTTCCCGCCACATGATGAAACGTTTAGGGAATGGAACGGTTAATTAAATCCAGTTGCGTTAAATCGTGATTATGATTTAAGAAGGTGGGAGGAAAGGAAAAAACGAAAAAAGAAGATAGCAACAATCCTGTTATTATCGTCGTTCGATTATTGATTTTACGTCACGGTTGGAACGGCATGTTACTATGGGTATTATGGATGGTCGAAAGGAGAGAAATTAAAGCCGATTGTTAACTATCGTTTTTTTTTTTTTCGCGTGAGATCGAAACTCGATGCCGTAAATCTGGCATCGTTTGATTGAAAATATTATATAGAATTAAATTCGCGAACTGATGTGACCGATATTATTATTGGAATGCACGAATCAATCGATACCTGACTCCTGATCGTGTAATTTCGCTAAGTATTCTTTATCTTTGATCATTAAAAGGTGTAAATTATTTAATTGGAATTATTGCGAAGTATTTATATATATATAATATATTGCAGATATATGGAATACTTAATGAAATTAATTTTTATCTCATCAAATTCGAGGTGCGATTTCTTAAAATCCTTATATTTAAAATGTATTTATTTTTTTATTTATTTTTGGACCCAAGAGAGATTTTTATTGAATTTATTTCGTCGTGACAATAAAATAAAATTCAAGATGGCCACCTCGAATTTAGATGTCACGCACACATTCCTCTACATTGTTCCATTGTCAAGAAATTAACAAATAGATTTCTCTATTTGCTAAATTCAAAAGAAAAGAAAAAAAAGAAGAAGAAGAAGAAGAAAAAGGAAAGAGGAAATCTGCATTCCAATAATAACATCGTTCCACGTCAACGAAGTCGCAGGATACGTGATACATTTTTCTAGTTTTCCTTCCCTTTTCTTTCATTTCCTCCATATTTTTTTTTCTTTTTTTCTCCTTCGCTCTAGTTTTTTCAATCTAACCTCTTCTCTATATCTCCCTGTACACTCCTTGTTCGTCGCATAGTAGGTTTAACTCGACGTTTCCTCGTTCGAGGAACGAAGTATAAATAAAATATTTACTGCGTCGCATCCGTCCAGCCCTGCGTAGGCAGCTAGCCGTTAAACGGTGAGAGTTATATATATAAATATAAATATATAAATATATTTATATTTTTTAGCGATTGTTTTAATATATATATATATAAATATGAGAAAGAAGTTTATATAAATATATAAATATGTATATGTTTTTATTATTTGCGCGCGCGCGATACTCGAGATGATATAATTGAGATTTTGTTTTGCTCGTGTCATTTGTCTCGAGAGAGAGAGTGAAAAAAAAAAAGAGAGAAAGAGAGAACAAGCGTTTTACTCGTTAGAAAGTATATAATTATTAATATTATTTTTTATTATTGTTGCTGTTGGTGTCGTGACACTATTCCTTTCTTCAAGGAAGTTTTTTTTTTTTTTTTTATGCTTCTTTTTCGTCGATAGTTTCGAAGTTATTTATAATTTTTATTCGAAGATTTATATCGAATACTGATGATTTTCTTCACTTCGTCCCTTTCTTTTAATTACCTTCTTCTTCTTTTTTTATTTTTCTTTTTTTTATTAGGATTTTGTGCGCATAGTTGTTGATACTTTATTTATTTAATTCGAATTGAAGATCGAAATCAATTTTTTTTTATCATTTCCTGATTTTTGGTCGATTTTATTTTTAACGAAAGATTTTTTTTTTCTTTTAAGATTTATTCTTTTTTTAATTAGAACATTAATATTTCGTCGGCTTAAATTATATTTAATAGTAAATTATAGAAATTTATCCGTTCCATTGGTTAAACTGATATTTTTTTTAAATTTGTGAGATTTATATTTTTTTGTGGATAAGTAAAAAAATAATCATCCGCGTTTTTATCGTTAATAAAAACTTTTGCCGAAACGAATCACACGAGCTGAGTATCTTTTTCTTAAGATCTACGCAAGAATTACTTCGATATCCAAAAGATCGAAAAGAAATTCTGTATTAAAGATTTATTTAAAAAAAAAAAATTGTATTCATAATTCTTAGTGATATTCATTTTGCACAAAATTGATATTGCATCACCAATTCTCTAAGTCTTATTTAATAATTTCAATTAATTCGTAAGAAAATTTCTTCTTCTTCTTTTGTTAAAAATAATCCTTACGTGTTCAAGATCCTTAATGTGTTCAACATTCTACACGTTAAGAAAAGTTATTATTATTGTTTAATAAAAAAAATTGTTAGAAAATTTAGAAAAAAGCAAAATAAAAAAAAAATCGAAAAAATATAAAATTAAAAAATCTTATAGGAGAAAAAAAAGAAAAAAATAATTCTTTTCTGGATTTCGAAAAAGAAAAGCGCTTGCGTGACTCGAACTCTGTCTTTTTCCTTTAAGAAACGACAGTTGAAGTGAGATCGATTTCAATATATAGATTTTTACGCGTGCAAATGTAATCTTATATTTAAAAAAAAAAAAAAAAAAAAAAAAAAAAAAAAAAAAAAAAAAAAAGAAAAAAAAAGGAAAAAAAAAAAGGAAAATTCGTATTTCCACTTTTTTGCACATTTTGCTATCGAGATCGATGCATCGCGAATATTGTGCGTGTCTCGATGAATTTTGTAACGACCAGTACGACGTTGAATCGTGCGAGGACTGTATATGCGAGGAAATCGATAATAAAGGAATTTTTATGATTCACGATCACCTGCAAGCCCTCTATCTCACTTGCTCGTATTCGCAACGAACGTATTCCACGATCCGGATACAAAAATTCCATCTCCCATCATTTGCGATCACACCTCGATCCCGAATAACATTCATTCGTTTTATTTTCGATTTACCCTGAAAAAAAAAAAAAAAAAAAAAAAAAAATACAAATGTTTTATTCCTTAACAGATGAGAGGAAGAG